GGGTGCCATGAGGATGAATCCAATTGCTGGGGGTTTTACTGTAATTTACCCTAGCAAATGTCTAGTTAAAATCTTGTGCGAGGATGCTCGGCTTTACCTTGAACAATTGACCATTCTCCACCACTACAAACAACCGGGAAGGAGTATATAAGCCCAGCTGGCACATTGTATGAACCATCAGAGTATACACCCATAGAAACCCAAGTGCCCTAGAATGTACAGTCAAAAGAAGATAAAGATCAGCATATTTCAACCAATTTATCTGCGTACTTCATCAAAAAAGGGTAAATTTACGATCTATTTAACTACATATAACATGAAGACTATAAACAAAACAAGGCCCACCTCAGGAGTTCCAAGTACCCAATCGCGTATATGATCGCAGGCAGAACTAGCAGCAGATAGTGCACTAGAAAGCTTTCTGGCTTTGATAATCGCAGCACCACGCTGTTGGACAGTAGTTATGAATCCCCCATTCAACCTAACAACAAAAGAATGATAACTTCCATAAGAACGATGGAATCTTCAATAATTTTGAAAAGAATGTTTATTCTTTCATCATACCATTCATCATCAGTAACAAGCTCACGGACAGGTTTTTCTCCAGCTGGTGTTAAGACAGTTGCATGGTTTACATCAGGATACTGAGTAGAGGAGTGATTTCCCCAAATAATGGCATTTTTAACATCAAATACTTGAACATTCAGTCTCTCTGAGATTTGACCAAGAGCCCTGTTATGGTCCAACCTTGTCAGACAAGTAATGTTTTTTGCTGGGATAGATGGTGCAAACTCCTTCAGGATCAGAGCATTGGTGTTGGCAGGGTTAGCAACAACCAGAACCTGGAAGAAACACAAAGCAAAAGTGATTAGAAGTTGCCCAAGGGTGCACAAATATAGAGCCATAAACACATTAGATGTCCCATAAAAATAAATCAGCCAACAATATAATACTAAAATCTACTCATAGTAACACAGTTCCCACAGTCTTCAATGAGTGGTTGGAGCACATTGGCAGAATTGCATCACATCCTGACAATATGTTCAGGGAAGTAAATGAGGCGAGCCAAGCAGTAGATTGGTCAAGCTTGATTTGAAATTTAAACAAGCTGTAAAAAGCTTAAGTTTGGCTTGCTTATCTTATGAGCCAATCTTGAATGAACTTTTGGAACTTTTTTTGAGATGAGCTTGAATAGCATGACTTTTTACATATTTGTAGAATGCTAACTAACTTATCAACATTAAAAAATTGAAGAGCTTAAAAAAATGCTCAAATTTGTCTAGTTTATCACATAAGCCAAGCCCAAGTAACTCGGTGTCCCAAGTTTATTGTGAAACACAAAGATACAACATAAATTTTGTATAGATGCTCTACCATTACAGGGGAAAAATGACTTATGATACCAAAATGTAACCCTTCGCTATATTACGGGGGGTTAAAATATTACTCTTCTATTCTACTTACTATTTGAAGTCATCTTTTCAATTATAGTTTCTTTAAATGATTGTGAATGCATGCAAGAATATTCTATTTTTGTAAGAGATTAATTTCTTACAATTAGACAAAAAAACAAACCAAAGCTTTTTGGAAGGCAAAGAGAATCCAATTATTTGCTTCTTCTTTTTCTGTAAGTGAATCTAATTATTTGTTATCCCATTGGAGTTTTATAGACCTACTTTCTGCACCGATTATACACTAAAAGATGAATTTTTCAAGGCGGAAAAAGAATGGAACAATTCATTTTCCCTGGGACATTCAAAATGCCAATAATTAAAAATTTTCACTCTACCAAAAAGATGGCAACCACCTTGCAGTTTGGGGCAGCATGCTGCTCAAGAGCAGAAGCTTGGGCCTTGTAAATGGACACATTCTTTGCCATCACATCTTTTCTTTCCATGCCTTCTTTCCTGGGGAAACCACCAACCATGACTGCAATGTTGACGCCAGTGCATGCCTCAACAACATCAGTTGTAGCAACAACACCTGATACAAATGTTAGATCATTCAGTCCACTATGATTGTTCTTTCCAAATGTAAAATAACATAAAAAATCGGAAACCCGTTCACTTTGCAAATATATTTCATGTATAAGAAAAGACAATGCCAACCTTTGAGGAGAGGGAAAGCAGCATCAACCAATTCCATTTTGACCCCATTCAATGCCTCTGCAGCAGGTGGAATATCTAGCATGTGGAGGATCAGGGCTTGATCAGCACCCAACATCACTCCTCTAGCAATCATGGGGACAAGAGCATAACCAATTTGTCCTGAGAACTCAACATGGTTCTATCAACATACGGTCTAAATTAAGAAACCCAAAATGTATAGCAACCAAACACAAAACCGTCTTAATTTACTCCAGGAGCATTAGTTTTTAGCAATTATACAACATGAAAATGTTTTTCATTAGTAACCCACTTATGTTCTAAAAGTTCACTCGAAAAAGAGTTTAAAAAAAATTGGTACACCAACCAACCTCTGCAACCATGTGGCTGTTCCATTTGGTTTCTAATAAAATCAAGGAAGTAAAGAACAGTTCATAAACTAGCACTTTTTAAGACCTAAATATACAAAACCCACCATGCAAAACCAGGTCTAAAACAATTACTTGGCATCACTGAGAGAATTCTTAGATTTCTTTAGATGCAAAATAGAACATAAGAATTGACGGTTTTTCCCAGGGCACCAAATTATCGAATCTTCATCATATTCTACTTTACTCTGATCCAACAGACAACCAAATGCTGAGAAAGAATGCAAACCAAACAGTGACATATGTAACTTGTTCTTCACTAGTGCTCCATTAGGTTCGCAGTTTTAATGAAGGAAAGGAAATGTAAAAGGTGAAGAAAGGGAGAATGCCAATGTATTATCTCTCCTTGCCAAACAAAATCATAAAAAGCATAAAAGATTTTCTCCAATTTGATTTGAAATCATAAAAAGGAAAGGGGACCTGATGCGATAACTCAAAAAATCTCCTACATCCACTCATGATATTTTTCCACATTATTTTCAAAGACAACCAATAGTTTGATAAACCCACCGATTGTTGCTAATATTCCATCCTCTCTATTGAAAATATGTCTCTCTTGCAGAATTACAATCTATAGCTCAAATGGTAGCTTGATTGGTGTTCAAATCAAATAAGTGAGATGGCAGTGATCTTTAGCTGGTCATAAGCATGCCTTCCCTCTACACCACAAACTTCAAGTTATATGACTGCTACTTTACCAATTCTCATACTCTCTCTCTCTCTCCCCCCCCCCCCCCAGTTAAATTCATTGAATCCCAGTGACCTTGTGGTTTTCTATGAACCCAATTAAATGATGGATGGTGAACTTGATGAACATTTTCTTATATTCCATTCCAAAATGGCTTGCACAGAAAACTTTAGTACTATGCAGATACAAATCTTGTTCAATACCCAGTTTAATCCTTGTAACGGAGAGTGCTATGAGAAGTGGACCACAAACATACTTTAATCGTTCACATTCTAGCACAAAATGACTGCCCTCAATTTTGATCCCACAAATTATAGCTCGAACAATTTTTTTTCCTTCATTTTGGATTGTTTAGCTCGATCATCCTACCCTTGTACTAAAACCCTGGACTATGACACTTTCAATCACAAAACACAGCACAAACTTAAACACAACTGGATCTACTATACCTGAATCCCATTAACTATCAGCAAAATGATCTATCAACAGAACCCAGTTTCACAATCCAAATACTGAACCTATTAGTCCACCACGTAGTCTTGTGTGATCAAGTGAGTTTTTTCGCATATCAGTTTTCATAGTAGATCAAAACTGAAGGAGACAAAAAATAAAAAAGATCGAAAAAAATGTCCGGTTTGCTACTGTAGGAACAGTACCTGCAGCGCCTGTAACAAGAACACGAACCGGGTCTTTCGCCATTGTGTGAGATCTGAGCAGAGAGAGAAGTACGATATGTTGATGGTCTCAACCAAAGTTTCGCCTTTCGATCGACGGAGAGAGTTAGAGAGGAATGAGGGGAGATATATAGGGGCACCATGGTCATTCCCCCAAACGAGTTTCCAAAACGACATCGCTCTGGTTGTGGATGCCCGTGGAATGGATTACCTTCGAAATTGGGTACTAAAGTGCGCGCAGGTGTGCATGAGCATCTCCAAGAGGGTGGCTAACCCTTAGCTATTTTAAATAATTTCACTCAAAAAAATTATTCCAAGAGACTAGTAATCCCACTGTCTAAAATAGATAATCTTATTTTCATTGGATAGATATAGCTAGCCAGTAAATCTTTCGTTGGCACCAATCTCTCCTCGTCACCTCCTTCTCCTCCGTTACTGTGACTCTCGTCTCTCCCTGTTTCTTTGTTGTAAATATGACTGTTACAAATATAATCATTGTAAATATGATCGTTAAAAAGCTCAAATTTTTAAATTTTGAATTTCGTGACCGTTATTAATAAAAATCGAAATTTTAAAATTTTGATGATGTGGCGTAACACGCCAGCATGTGATGTCATCAATATGGTGATGACATGACATACTAAATAGTATTTTAGATTTTATTATTGAAAGTTAATTAAAATTAGTTAAAGTGGTTAGTTAAAATAAATAGTGTTATTGGAGTGAGTTTGAAAAAATGATTAATTAATATAGATAATATAATATTTAATTATATTTTAAATAGCCATCTTGAAAATGCTCTAATGCGCATATTTCTGGTGATTGTTATCGGTTGAGAGTTGGCAAAGTTGCCACGTCAGTGCAGGGCTAGCTCAGTGGCTAGCCATTGTTTGTTCAAACATTAAACCGGTGGGTTTTTTTTTTATTCTTCTGGGATTATCTACCGAGTCTTTTGATCTTCGTATGCACACCTTAACAAATGTTATCTCACACTTTTAATAAAATAAATTATTTATATCGAAACTAAGAAATTCAAGAATCTATAATGACCTCAGAACCAACTCTAACCCCTAAGCAAGTGAGGTGGTCACCTAGAACCCCAACTTGCCTAGAATTCCATTCATGTACGTCTCACAAAATTACATGACTAAATTTTAAAAAGAATACACAAAATTTAGAATATTATATGAAACGATCAAAATAAAATTTACTAATATTTTTATTTCAATTATAAATATACATATATTTAAAAAAAAAGGAAAAAGTACCACATTCTTGTACAAACAATTACAAGACTTTACTTTCTCATTTTACCTGAATTCTCAAAAAATCTGATCTATTTATTCAGTTTTATTTTCTTGTACTATATTTTTTTAGTTAATTTTGATATTAATATAAACATTTACACAATGTGTTTATTTTACACCTTAAATGTACCTTTTAAAAGATATTAAAACAAGAACAAATAAATTATGTATTTAAAAAAAATTTAGGGCCCCATCTAAAAATTTTGCCTAAGATCTTAATATTCTTGGGCCGGCCCTACATAACCTAATCTCAAAAGAATTATCAAATTTCAAACTCAAAATATTTGAGTTTACAACTCATTCTTGAGCATGGATCAAATATTTGTCTTGATCACATCCAATGTGAGTTAATCATTTTCAATTATATATTGTAAGAATGTAGACTTTGGTGAGAGTAAAATTGCTCTATTGTGATTTGTAAGTCGGATGTTTAAGTTGTGAAAATAATCTTTTCACCAATATTACAACCATGGAGTCGGGGCGGAGCCAGGTTTCTCTTTTAAAGAGGACAAAATACTAACTAAAATAACTCATCAATTGATACAATAAAATTTTAGGTCCAACAAAATATACCAAGATTTAAGACTAAATTGCTATGTGAAATTGTAAAATTAGTGTCCTTTTGTTTTCTTAAAAAAATATGAACGAAATAGATGCAAAAAAAAATAAAAATTCTAAAGGTATTTCAACCCAATCATTTAAAGTGGAACATAATATTTTTTCAAACTTCATTCACAAGTCCATAATCAATTGAGATCATATTTTGTAAAAAATTAAATATTTGAAATAGCAAAACATACTTTTAGTTTAGAGCACGGGTTACTAATTTACAGAAAAATAATTGAGAGCACTTGTACAATATAATTCATCACATAGAAAAGTTGTAATGGTCACTATAATATTTTACATATGTTTTAGTCCATCCAAATATAAAAATTAATTTTAAAGGGTTAATGGATTACAAACTAACTAAAAATAAAAAGTTTATTACAACTATACAAAGTTTTAAAAAATTATAGGGGCAAATTCTTGAAATGAACAAAATCATGATCCCAAACTACTACGAGATAAAGGGATTTTTGAGAAGTCAAGGATGGGCAGTGCCCACCCTTGTCCCAAGGTGGCTCCGCCCCTAGATAGATGGACCCAAGAAGGGCATGGTAGCCATGGCCTCCCCTCACTTTTTCAAAAGTCCCTATATAACCCCATTTGTTTTACAAACTATATGTTTTCCCTTAAATTCCAAAAAACTTTATATATATAGATAATTCGTGTATTGTATTTAAGAAACTAATGAATTGATATTTAATACTCAAATGAGAGATGCAATCTATGAATGATTATTGTTTTTAGAACTGGATATATTTGATTGGATAAGTTTGATGACTAAAAATAATTTTAAAAGTATATTTTTTTTACAAAATCAGATTTTAAATGTAACGGCTCACACTATCATATCACGGGAAATTATTATTTGTGATGATAATTTATTTCAAATTATTATATCATATCCTCATGAGAGAATAAAAGGATCATGCTGCTACGACAAACTTATTTCTATAATGATAAGAACCGATTTTTATGGATTTTGTGACCTAAATTATTTTTTATTGTAATTATATGAAAGTTAATTTTGATAGATTTTATATAATTAAATTTTTTATTTGGTGGAATGGACACATGTTTTTCTTTAGGAGTTTGAAAAACAAATTCTCTATTAAGAATCTGGGCATTTAGGTATTAATAAATAGAATGTAGACCACTTTTTCTCTTTCAAATTCCATTTTGGATCCGTTCTGTTGGTTAGATAGCTTTGTATAATCAATAGTGAATTTTTTGTTGTTGCACTATCGATTATACATTGGTGAGAGTTTTAGACATTGGTTCTTGGATCAATGGGCTCCTAATCTCCCAATAAATAGTATCAGAATCGATAGCTGACGATCTTGAGTAAACTCTCGAAGAAGTAGTGTAGTTTATTAGTACTTGATGATATCGAAAAATATACAAGGAGGCAACAAGCAATAAAGAAACTATCAGATGGGGCAGAAAAAAGTTTCCACCATTAACCCATACCTTGGACATAAGTCACACTAAATATTCTCTAAATATTATGTCATAAAAGGCAATGATCACTATGTAAAAAATGGGTCTCAAGTAATGAAAAAAACTATTGTACTCTTCTTTTCCAAGAAAGTAATATACAATTAAGGAGCAAGAATTTCATTACAGTGGATTAACCAAGCTTTTCAGCTGGTAAACCACTTATTTTTTTGTGTATTGATCTCATTCATTTTTACACACACATGACACATCCACCAAGAGCTCATCCGGTTCTCCACCTCATGCCTCTCGATTTTTTACCACCANGGATGGATATTGTTAGACCTCTCCCAAGGTCCCCATTAGGCAAGAAATTCTTGTTGGTGGCAACTGATTACTTCACCAAATAGATCGAAGCCGAGCCCTTGAGCCGTATTTAGGATACGGAGACGAAGAAGTTCGTATGACAGAACGTTATCACCCGATTTGGAAACCCTCCGGCTACGTTTCTGACAACGGGACTCAATTCAATAGTTGCCCATTTAGAGAGTTCTATTCAGGGTTTGGAATATGTAATTACTATTCCACGCCAATCTATCCCCATTGTAATGGACAAGCTGAGGTTTTCAACAAAATCGTGCTGGCAGGAATCAAGAAGAGACTTGAGAAGGCAAAAGGAAGATGAACCGAGGAATTACTCAACGTATTATGGGCATATAGGACCACGCCAAGGACATCGACAGAAAAAACCCCCTACGCCTTGACATATGGGGTTGAAGCTGTCATCCCCTTGGAGGTAGGACTCCCAACAATACGAAACCGAGCCTTCAAATTGGGAAACAATGACCAGATGCTCGCTAGAGATCTCGATTTAGCAGAAGAAATGATGGCATTGACATCCATCAGGCTGGCAAGGTACCAAGGGGGAATTATCAAGGCAACACCAAAAAGTTCGAACGAGAGATTTCCAAGTCTGAGATTTGGTACTACAAAAAGTGGTGGGCAATGCTCGTGAATGTACTAATGGGAAACTAGGTCCCAACTGGGAGACCCCTTATAAGGTGGTCTCTGTGGGGGGGCACAGACGTGTATAAGTTGCAAAGTATGATCGACAATGACGTAATCCAACCATAAAATGTATCGAATTTAAAGAAATACTACTGCTAACACGACCCAAATGCTCGGTTGCTAGGGGTACGACCCCGAGGAGTGTAAGACTCCACCTTTGGAGCAACGCCTTTAAATTATTAATACAAGTCAAGCACTCGGTCATTAGGGGGTACGGCCTCGAGGGGTGTACGACTTTACCTTTGGAGCAACGCCTTCAAATTATTAACACGAGCCAAGCACTTGGTCGTTAGGGGTACGGCTCCGAAGGGTGTAAGACTCTACCTTTGGAGCAACGCTTTCAAATTATTAACACGAGTCAAGCACTCGGTCGTTAGGGGTACGGCCCCGAAGGGTGAAAAACTCCACCTTTGGACCAACGCCTTCAAATTATTAACACGGACCAAGCGTTCGATCGTTAGGGGTACGACCCCGAGGAGTGTAAGACTCCACCTTTGGAATAACGCCTTAAAATTATTAACGAGCCAAGTGCTCGGTCGTTGGGGATACGGCCCTGAGGGGTGTAAGACCACCTTGGGCGCCTTCAAATTATTAACGAGCCAAGCGC